ATAGCATTTCACGAGGCAGTGCAGCCCGAATCACAGCCTAAGCACTCGCGGTTCTTGCTCTCCTTCTGGGCCTCGCCACTTTGTGTCTCCCCCTCGTAGTATCGCAACTGGGTTCGCCACAAGTAGGCCTGGTGCTCCCATGCCCGCTTTGGTGTCCGTGTGGTGTGGTCAGGAGTACTGACTCTCACGGCCGTCGGGCATACAGACTCCAGGAGCTTCATCCTCTCATAACCACGTGGATTCGTCTTTTTCACCTGGTCGATGAAGCTCTGTCTCTTCGCCTCCCTGATCTTGCATGCCTTGCATTCCAGAGGCGGTTCCACTGGACACTGGCACACGATCTCAGCAGCCACCATCGCTTAGATCGGAGATCGGAGAGTGGGGGTAGCACCAAAACTCTCAAGCTTGATCCGTGCATTGCGGATGAAGTTGTCCAAAAACATATGGAAGTTACGATCCGTTTAATCCAAACATTTATCGGGCTTACACCAACCCAGCAACGGGGGCTCTCCAGCCCGGGTACACATAACAGGGCTTAGCCAACCCAGCGGCGGGGAAACCCTAAACCCTAAACCAAAACCCTAAACCCTAAACCCTAAACCCTAAACCCTAAACCCTAAACCCTAAACCCTGTCCATTTTTTCTTGTCGGATCCACGTGCCGGCTCGTCCCCCCTAGGACTGCTTCTTTCTGGCCTCGGCTTTCGTCTTCTTGGCAACTCCTAGTGCGGCCAGAGCCTCCTTCAAGGCATCTGCTACTTCCTCGGTTCTCATCTTCCCATTTGCTTTGATCAATTTCTCCAAGCGTGCCTTGCATTTCTCTGCTGCTCCCACTGCCTGGCGGTGTTGTTGATCTTTCACGAAACAAGTTCACTCACAAAAAAACTGGCCTCATTCAGGGTCTTGGACAGGTGCTTCTTCGCCTTCGCATCCATGCTGGCATCCTTCATCTGAAGCAGGTGCTGCTCCAGGTTTCCTATTTCCTTGGCAAGTTCGGTCTTGAAAACGATCAGCTTCTTCTCCAGCTCCATCTTCGTAGTTGTTGTCGAAACCTGTTTGGGCTTGGTGTTGAAGGGTCTACAATATCAAAAGAAAGGGCTTTGAGGAATTTGCCATTAGAAGGGTTTGGGGAGTTTGCCAAAAGCTCAGGGTGTACG